CTGTAACGCTTCCCACTCTTATGACACGTGGCACGCTCTGATTGGCTGTGGACGGTTGTCACGCTGTCTTCGTACTTCGTGAAATTTGAACAGTCCGGCCCTTTTTGCCTTTCGTCTTTTTCACAAAACAGCCCTTTCATCTTTGAATCATTCACCTTCTTTATTCATCTTCCTCTCTCTTCGTGCCTCTGCTTCTCCAACCTCTGAGTTCCCAGAGCTCATGTTCTACGCTGGTGTTGTTGCTCCCCTCTTCAGCTTCATCTTCTTCTGGTAAGCTTCAAAAAACCTGTTTTGTTTTTCTTCTTTCTGCTTCCTATGTTTTTGCAAAACATGCTTGTTCATTTTTGTTTTTTGCTTCTGAACTTTCATGGGAAAATCAGTAGAACCTATGAGTATATGCTATATATCCCATAGAAAACTTGATTTTGATCCAGAATCATGTCCCAACCGAACTAGGAAACTGTTTGTCCTATATAGGTAGATCACTTTAGACAATAACCGAACTAGAACTCGTAGAAATAACAGCAGTTTCAGTAGGTTACCAACTCCCGAATCACTTTGGCCGAGATAAGCTCATCGAACAACGTTTAAACTTATTAAACTAGGAACCTCGGTCTTCAACCGAGCTAAGCCTTCGGGGCTAAGCCAGCCTTCCTAGTTTCTGAACCAAACTTAGAAAGCTGCCCCTAGAGGCTCAACCGAAGTAACAAAACTCATAGTTCAACCGATTTAGGCCTTTGGGGCTAAACCAGCTTTCTTAGTTTCTTAGACCGAACTCAAAAAGCTGGCCCGAGACGATGAACCGGTCTAACAAGATTGTTTCCAAAGCAAGTATGCCGAGATGCTTGCCAAGGTCTGGCTAATAAAAACTCTGCTCAAACCAAGCTACCAATCATTTTTTCCGAACCGAGATAGAACCTGTCCATAAAACCGAAGTAGGGCTCTTTTACCTTGCTTTTAATTTGTAGCACGGTCCTATGATCTGTGTTTAACCCCTTTGTTCTCTACTTTGCAGACTTAGGTTGCCCAGGCACTCCTTCGTGCGCTCAACCGAGCTACTGAGCACAACGTTTGCACCGATCTAATTTATTAATAACTTATACGATAGATGGGGAAGTATAGGTACCTAGTAAATACTCTGGGCGGCCTAGCCGAATTCAGAAAAGACTACCAAATACCCGATGACGTCCACCTGATCTTGGCCGAAAAAGACGTCATTCCCTGGGGAAATGAAGGCTTCGTCCCCTTCACCCTTTTATCCATTATAGAAACCGGACTACGGTTTCCAGTCCAACCATTGATTTGCGAGTTTCTTAGGCAAACCAGACTATGCCCAACCCAACTATCTACCAACTCCTACCGCATCATTATGGGAATAGCCGAGCTGAACCGCCAAGCCAGACTAAACCTTGGCCTGGCCGAAATCTTCCACCAATATTCCATTGGCTCAAAAGAAGATGGGTGGGTCTATTATCTTAGAATACGTCGCCGCCGAGAGAAGATAATAAAATATACACCGGACAAAGACTTAAACGACGACGATTTTTTCTGGGTCTCTGGGAATTTTGAGGATTATCAAGCCCAGATTCCTGGCCGACCTATAAATTGGAAAAAATGAGAGCCCGGTAAATTTACTTCGGTCTTCTTCCTTGCATTTTTTTATACTTCGGCTTTTTGACATGGCCACCGGACTAACAGTTGTCTTCTTTTGCAGATTCTGCCCACCTCACTCTTTAATACAGCTAACCAAACTAGCCCTTTGCGAGCCGCAGCTATGGGTATCCAGAACGTAGTTGGGCCAAATTGCTGAGTTCGAGCTGACCTACAGTGGTCGCCGAAAAGCCAGGGTCACTGATTTTCTTCTTGAAGACGCCCCAGAACCGGACCCCACCTTACCCCAAATCAGACTAATTCCACTCACTGCTGAAGAGAAGATGGCCAAAAAGAACAGAGTAAGGGCTCTCATGACCGAAACCAACAGGGCCGAAGTACCACCAGAAAGTCAAACCCAAGAAACAGTGGTGGCCCTTCCTATTCAATAACCATCTTCATCCCGCCGAACCAAGCGCGCCCGGACCACCGAAACCGAACAAAGTTTGGTTGATGAAGAAGAAACTGCTCTTCCACCAAGTCTGCCACCGAGCCCCCAACCGGAGCCTTCTGACCGAACTACCACTTGCTGGGTGCCAAAGCTTACCTTCAACAACCGAGATATCTAAGATTCTGACTCGGTTGTTGCTGAGAAGGATCATCAGTTGGCCTTCAACCTGGCCAAGAGTGTGTGCCTCCCCAAAGATATGGAGCACCACCAAAAGCAATTGAACACCGAACTGAAGGCCATCTGGTCTTTAACAAAATCCATGATTCTGGTAAGTAACTTCGGCCGTTTTTCTGTCTACTTTTTTCAACTTTTACTTCGGCTAAAGTGAAATCTTTGTTTTGTCAGGCCATTCAGAAAAACCACATTACTCATAGGAAAGTGCTAGAGCTCAGGAAAACAACAAGGCAAGCTGTGGCAGAAGCCGAAGTGAAGTCGGCCGAGCTAGAAGAGGCCAGAAAGCAAATGGCCGAGCTACGAGCTGAGAACGGCCGACTGGCCGGATTGGTTAGTTCGGCCGAGGCGGAAAAGCAAAAGGCCGCCATTGTGCTAAAAGACAAGTATCTACACGAGCTGGTGAAGCTTGAAAAGAAGAAAAATACCGAAATATCCCAACTGAAGAAGAGCGCAAAAGGCGCCGAAAAGAAAGGCTTCAAGAAGGCAGAGGATGTATATGCCAAGCAGTGTGAAGCCGCCAAGGAACTGTTCTTAAATTGCGGCTGGAGGGCAGCCGTTGAGAAGCTCGGTCATGATCCACAGACCGAGGTTTTCAACCCTCCAGCCTACTTCATACCGAACTCCCTTGTGGAGTATGCTAATGCCATGCAACAATAGTTTCTTGAAGGCTCAGATTCTGATGAAGACTCTGCCTCTGAGGATACTCCGGTTGCCAATGTGGATCAGTCAGTTCGACTGGAGCCCATGGTGGAAGACCTGACTATTGAACTTCCAGGGAAAACCGTGGTTCCGACTGAAACCACCCTTGCGACCGTGAGCGAGCTCCCGTCTGAAACCGGTCTTCGCGTTGATGCCGATGCAGCTTTTGATGCCGAAATTGAAGACCTTTTCTCTTGATTTTGTACTTTTTTTTAATTTCTCACTTTTATTGTGTTCTGTTATTATTTATAGCGCAATGTTATTATTTAAATTATCTAATTTTACTTCTTCCATATATCTAATACTCATATAATTTCATTGACGAGTTTGAGAAATCATACTCTAATACTAATTTAAACACACAACGAAATAAAACACTTTCTAAAGAAAAAAATATAAATGCAATTTAATTTACCCTATTAAATATATATGAAATTATTATTTATTTTTCATAATTCTTTTTAAAATATAAATGCAATTTCTTAACTCAATTTTTTTACACAAATTTTTGAACTTTTATAAACAAAAAAATAATAATAAAAATTCAACCATTAATGGAATGACAAATAAATTTTAAGATTTAATTTAATAAAAATAGTTTAAATGAGATAAAATAAAGATGGAGAAATAGATTTTAAGTATCACAGTGTGTGAGTTGAGTATAAAACATGTGCATTCGGCAAACAAAGCATATCTAAACCCATCCCTCATAGGCCCAAATTGAATATTGCCCATTGAATTGTTGAGAAGATGAAGCGCCGAGTATGCTAAATGATGTACTGAGTAAGTCGATTAGGCAGAATCGGCAAGCAATTAAGCCAAGTACCAAAGTGAGCCCAGACTATCCCTTTCCAAAGGTATAATAGGAACTTGGATTCTAACATTCAAATGATGATGACAAACAGGTCAAATTATGTAGAAAATATCTATACCATCTACACTAAAGGACTTCATAAAGAAGGTAGATACAAGGAAAAATGTATGCACTAGGAACCAATTGAACTTTGTCTTAAAAATATCATACTCATTCCCTCCCATACACAACCTACTAATTTAACCGTCAGAGTGTTAATTCCGGCATTCCCGACCGGAGTGTTCATCCATTTTTCAGGTAGTAATCAAAGGATCAAGAGCATGTAATTGGATTCAAGAATATTTCCAAACCACTTTACCATAGTTACTTATATATATATATATATAAAGTTGATGAAAAATAGGTAAATCCTTCTTGAATAAACAAAATATACTGTGATTACTTAAGCAACAAAGCTCCAAGTAAGGAGTGTTCTTGTTTGCAGGGCATGCAAAGTAGGAGCAACTCTAGCCCTGTTTCTCATTTTGACATGTTTAGTACTATATTTTAGTAGATTATAGTATTAAAATATTATAATTTAACAATCTTACTTTGAAATGATATTATGTTAGACTAAAATCTTAATCATGGCCATAGTTTATTTGCAATGGGCAAATATACGGTTCTTACATTTTTTAACTAATGTTTGCGACAAAAATTATGTCAATCCAAATATTTTTTAATTTCTTTTAATAACTTATTGTCACTAATAATATTTTTGGCAACAAGAGTAATTGTTGTCGCAAATATTCCCGATGCAAAAGGCTTGTCGAACCTTATCATCTCAATCATTCTAATTCCTTATCACTACGTATCAAAATGGGATTGTCAAAAGAATTCTTAAGACTTTATCAAATATTCTACATTAATGATTGTGCTTAAGACTTTCAATAATATAAATTATCATTCTAAACAACATTAAAGAATCATTGAATCTTTTTTATTAAAAAATTATTGAGGATTAAGAATAAATCAAGCTAGAGAATATATTAAGATAGAAAGCAAAGAAAATCAAAGAAAAGTAGAACAATAGATCATAAACGATTTGATTAGTTTAGAAAACAAAAAGAAAAGAATGTGAAGGTGCAATTAATTTGGGTATAGTTTTACTAATTATGTAACTAATGTTGTTTGCTGATATACAACAAAAAAAAAAAAAAAAAAAAAAAGCATCTCTACATCAGATCAACGTCGGGGAGGTCCACGCTTATCATACGTTCCCCAACCTCCACCACCATACATATCACCATAGGCACTGCCTGCATATCTCATTTCAGGGCTTCCACTGAACATTCCATAACCCCCAGGACCTATACAAAAGATAAATCTTCAGTACACCAACTTCTTTTCCAGAGGTTCAGGCATTACAATCTCCAGACAATGCAGGCTGCTCCTAATAAAAAAGTGTGTGTGTGTGTGTGTGTGTTAGAAACAGAGAGAGAGAACGAGAGAGAGAGTTGTTTACCAAGTCCACGAGCTCCTCTCTCTACAGTCATTTGCTCTGCTCGTAGCTTTTCTATTTCCCGAGCCATGGAAACAAGGTTTTTCTCCATAGCTTGCTTTTGTTCCACCTGTTCCTCATTTGCTTTCTTCTCATATTCAAAAGCTCTCCTAGAAATATTGTGCATAGTCGGAGAAAACAAATCAAAGCATTCAGTGAAAACCTAGTAAATCTAACAACTCATGTCAGTGTTCCTAGTATGTGCAACCCACTTCCTAAAAATATAAAGGGTGAAGAAAACATAAACAATAAAACTTAACTCAGACACTATGATCAATTCAGGAATTTAACTTCGAACCTGGTTTCTAATAGCTGTTTGTGCAGCCCATCAATATCAGCTTTCAGATCATTTAGCTGCTGATTCTCAGTTTTCAATCGAGAAATGTCCTTTGTGAGAGTTTGAACTTGGCCTGACAAATCCTGCCGTAAAGCATTTAATTTCTGTGCTTCGGCCCTTAACTGCATAACCTCTGTCCTCAGAGGCTCAACAGCATGAAGCTCAGCTTCTAGCTTCAATCCCCTCTCAATCAACTCCCTAGCCTGTACTTCTCTGTCAGCACGAAGTTGGGGAATGACATGACCTAATCTACGAATCTCGTCCTTTGTGGCTTCCAATTCCCTCTGAAGCATCACGTTTTCATCAACTACATGTCTATTCTCGGCAAGAATCTTCTGAATATCTCTATGTTGGATTTCGAGCTCCTCTTCCATTGCAGCAGGGTGAAGAGGAAGGGGTCCTGGTCCTCGATGCAGTACAGGCTGGGGTCCATCACGAAAACCTCGGAAACCCTCAGGCTGGCGAGGTAAACGGTTTCTCCCTGCCATACTCAAGATCCTGCAGAGAGATTAGATTGTAGTTTCCTGTGAGTGAAAGTATAGAGTTCAACATACTGTTTGGCTGTGCAATGAATGAAAAAATCTGTCTTCATCACAGGAAAAAAATCCTCAATTAGATTTTGATCAAGAATGGCATAGAAGCTTCCTCGCTATGAAGCACATATGCTTCTAACAGGGAGTTGTATCCATATCACCCTAGATACTCGCAGATACGTATCTGATATTTCCTAAATGTAATCGATACTTGATATTTAATTTTAAGAAGTATCGGATACTTCTTGAACACTCCAAGTCACATATCCAAATTATTATGAAATTGAGATTGCAATAATTTTTGCATAGTATTGAAGTATAAGAGTACATACAATAATTGTTTTTCAATATTTTTTTTGTTTCTTACCAAAGAATAAAATAGTGAGATTAAAGTAGTATGTTACTTTTTTCAGATTTATCAAAATAATGTATCTCCTCGGGAAAAAAAAATGAAGAAGAAGAAGAGTAAACGGACTATTCTTTGAGTTCGTGTATAATATGATATTATAAATTATAAATTTTTTCAACGTATCACAGTCATACCCATATCGTATTTTTGTAGATTTTGTTGTATTGCCGTATTGGTACCATATCGTATCCATATTCTGTATCAGTATTCATGCTTAATTAATTTCCATGCTTCTCACTGCCAGTAATGGAACAAAAATCCGTCTGTCGGACTTGATTCGATTTCCATCGCACAACCAAAATCACAGTTAGCACAGCAACAAAACTTGAAATCACCAGTAGAACCTAAAACCCCTCTTTGGCCCACAAAGTAAGAAGGTTTTGTTAAAAAACTCTTAGAATCGTGGTGGAACCATTACGAACCTCAATATTGAAAACCATATCTTCCACCATGAAGTCAATTAAAATTGTCTATAAACTACATCCCCTATAAGAAGATTATTCAACATTCACAATCCACAAAATTTGCCAGAAATCTCTTTTAATTATTGCTAATGCCAGATAAAATTTTATAATTCTTGAATGCCAATTGGATCAAAATAACTGGTACAATATCAAGAATCATATGACTTGATATGCATGTTCAACTATTATGCAATCCACCAACCAAATCAAACCCATTTATACAAGAGAAAAAATAAAATTAAACTAGTACAAGAAGTTCGTTCTGATTCCTCTTCATTACTCCAACACTTCATCCCAAATCAAGTTGGCCTAAAAAGAACCCAAGTCAACATCAATTGGTTCTCCATACTAACTTGTTTGGACAATCCAAACCTTCCCTTCCCTTCCATTCTAACTTCTTATTTTTCCTCCAGTCAAACTCCAAGTTCAAGCATGCTTCAGACTTGTCATCCTTCTTATTTTCACCACAGACAAATTGTGAAACGACTATATGCATTCACTTTTTAATTAGTTTGTTTGACAGCATGCAATTGATATTCTAAAATGTGAGAACATACTTGTTCTCCTCTAGAAACATTAAAAGAGGACACCACATTACAAAACTAATTCTAAGGTTTAAATTGCATAAAGGCATAGCAAACAACAAAATGTCACAACAGAGGCTACAACTGAAAGAGCTATTGACATCAGCCCAAAAGTTTCTACAAGCCCAGCATATAAATAGTTCACTTCTCATAGCAATTCTATCAGCCTGGCTAGTTTTGAGAGCCAAACCAAATAGATAATCTTGGAAATGCAAAATTCGCCTGCCTACAATTCATGTCATTACTACTGAACTACATGCTATTTGCAACAGAGCATATCCCATGAAGGTGTGAAATAACAGACGAAGTAAAAACATCTCAAAATTTTCTATGCTTTTAAATTAGAATTCTGGAAATAAGCTCAATAGAAAATTTTGACACTCCATTAATCGCCACCCCAAATTTCTTTCACCTTTACTCTTATCCTTGTAATGCTTTTTAACTTTAACAAACCCCTGTTTATTTTTATATCATGTCTAGCATTTGATGCACGTGAGCAAACCTTCAATTTCTTTTTATTTTAAATCTATTCTTCTCCTTTTTTTTTTTTTATGTTCCACAATGAGGAAAGGACAAGTTAATGTTCATACACCGCGTACTCTATGATATCATGCTATAAAATGATATGTATCTTCTAATCTCTTTTAGTGAATCACAATATAGTAGATTATGTACAATAGCATGAAAAGTACAATATTTAAGCATCTTGACAGTTTTGGCATTTTTAAGAAGGATCATTTTTGGCCTTCAAATAAAATGATTATTAAATATCAATTTACAATAACCTTATGATTAAATGATTACAAAAAACAAAAATGGTATAAAAATAAAGCGTCACAAGAGATTTTAATACTTATTTAGCCAAAAACAAGTCCCAAATATATTCAGCTCAAAGTTGGTCATAGGAAAAATCTTTGAACTATTCAACTACATATTAGGCCGTAATCTTGTTAAAATTTAAGCCATGATGCCATTTTCTTACCAAGTCAACCCTAAATTGTCCACCCTCGCTCTTATCGCCGTAGTAACTTTAGCTTTATTCAATCCACTCTTCCTCATTACCATCATTGTCAACTTCCAGGCACAAGTGCAAGCAATCTGACTCACCAACAGGGGAAAATAATCTCCCAGACACATGTGAATGCCCTTACCCATACACGCAAGGTAAAGTCAAGTTGGTACCGAGAAAAATATTTTAGATGATCCTTTCTACATCTAACCTGTAGTTGGCTTTACTCATCATAACTATTCACAAACTGGTAGTTTTTATCCCATCTTTTCCTATAATGACACTTCCATTTCGAGTCTTAAAAGTTGGCAACTTGCATTTCATATGCTCTGAATGCCTAACATCATAAATCAAAAGAATGGCTAGCCTTATATAACTCCTCTAATTAGATTTATATCACAACCATAGATCAGTCAGATCGACTATCACCATTGCATCTTCATTCCGTGCATAACATCCTTGTGATCTCCTATTCTTTTTCTTTTTTTTTTACTGTTTTAATCTTATATAATTTGAAATTTTGAACATATTTGCTTCATTATTTTATTTTTTTTGAAAAATAAAATGTACATGTAATATTGATCGTAAAGGGGAGAAGCTTTAATCAAGAGGTTTTGTTCTGTCTGTTATTCCCACAGACGGCGCCAATTGTACGGGAAAGAAATATACCTTCTTGTATAATCCTGTTGACTAAGTCCGTGCTCTTCCGTACGACGTCGCTTTGTCACCTGAAAACACAAACGTGAGCTAGCCGGCGGGTGTGTGCCGGAAACCTCTCCGATGCCTAAGTCAGCAAACTTGACAAATAGACAAAGCTCAATGCATTCAGAAAGCAAAATTATGTGTTACCTCCTCCAAGGTGATATTTGTGAGCTTTTTATAGGTTTCGAGTGGTACAATCTTACTAGGACTACTTCTTCTCCATGTAGAGTCCTCCTAGGATTCATACTCCTAAAGGATAATGCTTATCCTTTAACACCCCCCCCCCACTGCTTAAACAAAGTGGGATGGTTTTTATCATGGCCGAACTATCACATGACCGAAATAACACTGGCTATGCTGAGCCGCAGAGTAGGCCGAGCTATCCCTAGTTCGGTTCTTTCATGTACAAACCATGGTATGTGTAGTCCGAATTACCGAGTAGCAAGGTCCTGACCGATCTATCCAAAATACGTAATGACCGGACTAATTATGAGACCGGACTAACTTCAAGTTGTCCAGACCGAAGTAACTTAACATCTTTTCTGGGCCGGAGTAACTTTTATCTCTCTCGGGCCGGAGTAACTTTATCTCTCTTGGGCCGGAGTAACTTTGTCTCTCTTGGGCCTTTTTACCCGGTCCTTCATACTTTGGGCCATAAAGTCCATCTCATAGCTCGGCCCAATTTTTACCAAAAATTACCCTCTCACATGTCATTTTGGATTAGATTTTTTTTCATATTTACATTTCAATATGAAAAATTTGAAGGACCTGTGGAGTCCATCACAAGATCATTTTAATAGTTTGAACAATTCATTTTTCAGGGCTCGTTGAATAAAATATCCATAAAAAAAAATTAAGATGATCGGATATCGGTAGTTACATATTTGAATCAACACTACAAGAATTTTTACTTTTGGCGACTAAATTTTTAGTCGCCAAAAGTCATATTTTAGTTGCCTATAGTCTTTAGCGACTAAATTTTTTGGTCAGAAAATTAGTAGCCAACGAGTAGTCGGGAAATATAATTGCCGACTTAACCTAATTTAGTCTCCAATAGGTTTGAAAATTAATTAAATAAATACATTTTTGCCGACCAATTTTTTTGTCACCAAAAGCCAATTATTTAGTGGCCGAAAAAATTTTAGCTACTAAATTTTTTAGTCGCCAAAAGCAAATACTAGTGTTTTGGCTACTAAAATTTTAGTCGCCTAAAGTCAATCTTTTTTGGCTACTAAAATTTTAGTCGCCAAATACTATTTCTTTTGGCTACTAAAAATTTAGTCGCCTAAACTTCAACATTTTTTGCTACTAAAAATTTAGTCGCCTAAACTACGACATTTTTGGCTACTAAATTTTTAGTCGCCAAAAGTCATATTTATTCTTCAACTTTTGGTTTTAGCTACAAAATATTTTAGTCGCCAAATGTTTGATTTTCTTTTGACTGCAAAACTTTTAGTAGCCAAAGGTTTGATTTTCTTTTGGCTACAAAACATTTAGTAGCCAAATGGTTGTTTTTCTTTTGCCTACAGAAAATTTAGTAGCCAAATGTTTGATTTTCTTTTGGCTACTAAACTTTTAATAGCCAAATGTATGTTTATTTTTTTTTCCCTTTTTATTAGCTACAAAACGTTTAGTCGGCAAAAACATGATATTATGTTTTATTGCTAATATTATAATGTGTCCATAACCTGTCTGTATTCCATTCAACCTGTAATATGTATACAAATAAAATGATACATAAATTATCAATCATTACACAATCTGCATCCGTATACAAAAAATAAGTTACTTTAACTGTCCAATTACGTACAAACAAACTAT